TGTGATTTGATACTTATTCTTGTTCGAGTTGTATTTTTTTTTTTTCAGCAGAAGACGGCGATCGGTTTGCTGATGTTTCTGGGGTTTCAGACTTTTGTTTTCCGATCTTTGGTTATTTTTTTTTTTTCAACCCCATTTTCAAAAGCCCCGGCCCCCCCCCCCCCCCCCCCCCTATACTTTTCGACCAGTCCCTTATGGTTGATTTACCTCTGGGCAATCAATCCCGGGGAGTGTTGTAATCATTTTATACCGGTACACGCGAGGATAACACGCGCGTATAGTTACATGTTATAAGACAATAAATCATCCATTTTTTCTGTTCACAACAACAACAACAACAAAAACTTTATTAATAAACAAAAAAAATTACAGAAGTATTGCCCTTAGCTAGCAAGGCTATTCGAGGCGGGACAATGAGTGGAAAATATAAAAATAAAGAATAAAGCTATTAACAGGTAAGAAAAGTTTACAGCGTACAAATAAATTTTAAAAAAATCGTAATATGGATAAGGACTAGATAACAGACGAAAGAAAAAAGGAATTAAACAAATAAATCGTAAAAGTAGAAACTAATAAGCAAGCATTTATTTTTCGACATTTTTGGCTAATTTTACCTCATTTAAAAGATACTAAAAACATCAAAATAAGTCAAGAATGGTGAACAATGCATGTAAGAAGAATAATATAAAACAAGAACAACAGAAAATCCATTCACAATAGAGCTCACCAGTCACCATTAATTACTTAAGAAATAATTGATTTCTTTTGTTGAGAAACTGAAAAATGCCTCAATAAGCCTTTTTGTTCAACATGCTGCTACCTAATCAAACATCGGAAATATGTTAATTGCGGGATTTGTTGACAATTTGCCTTTTGTATAAAAATCTACCTAAAGGTCAAAACTATAAGCTAGAAGATTAAAATAAACCGTCCATGGTTTGTTTTTGTTACAGAAAGGTTTTAACTTAAACGTAGTTACCGCCCATGAGGGAAAAATTTGGCGTCAGGAGTAAGATCAACTTGGGCTCGGATTCGGTCCGAGTGAAGGTACAATTTTTTGTCAGTGTTTGCCTTGCTCGACCGTCATGTCATGTCATGTCATGCAAGACTATGTAATCAATATTCCTTGTGTCAACGAAAGGTCATCCGATTTGCGTGATAGTGTGAGTCGTACGTACGAATAGGTTTCCTTTGGCTCGAATTTCATAACCACACGCGAAAACACTGTTAGTTAAAAACACACCCGTAACTAAGGGATAAACGATCATAAAGACGACAATCACGACCAAGCAGTGAAGGAGACAGAGTAACAATTCTTGATTCAGGATTCTGAAGGAGAATATGGTGTCGTATCGGTAATGACTCGTGAGTCTTCACACGAAAAGTTTCCTGCTCAAGTACTTACGGAACTGGCTACCTTTCGCCCTTTTCGTACTAATGACAAAGATGGGCATTTACACTTCTGTTTCGACAAAAAAATTAAGCAGAATGCTTTCAACAACCTTATTATGAGTAGCACACCTTACAGATGTTCATTAGGAAAAACTCGGCCAAAGGAGGCGAAACCCAAAAGGGCAAAACGAGCGAATGAAGATCGCATTAGGACGGACGAAGAGTTGTCTTCCGCTTGCTTGTCTCTTCCTAAAATACCTTCGGCTGCTGAGCTTATCCGAAGAAAACATGAATGTAGTAAGACATCAGTGGCTAAGCATGATTCAAGTGAACTTGAGAGCGATGAAGAACACCACTGTGGTTTTCTGTCTTGCGGTTCCCTGAAGATTGGAGAACAAGTTCGGGAGCCAGTTCAGTCTGCTCGAGAGACGACGAGGGAATCAAGATCAAGAAGTTTGCCACTTATCTTAAACAGAGAAAATACTTCATCTTGTTTAAAATGCAATACTCGAGCGTGTAAATTTAGACTTCAAACCAGAGAAAGTTTTCCTTCAAGGCCGTCTGTCGGCAGTGACCTTTGCTATTTGCGAGACAATTCATTAATTGATCAAGATTTTACGAAGGTTATGGAGGATGGCTCGAGGGTTACAGTCAAGCAAAGGAGGCTCTTTATTGAAATATTCATGCCGAGGACGTCATGAATGCACCTGCACGAAAACAAACCATGTCTACGAAAAGCGGAAGATCAAACGATCCGATACAATAAAAAACAAATTGAAGGTCAAGATGAGATTGAAACTTATGCAAATTTTTCATAGTACATACTTAGCGTATGTCTAAAATTAACTCTATTGAAATAATTAAAGAATTTTTTCAAGGCTACATTAATTTAGTGCGTTGAATTATTTTCCAATAAATTTCGGAGGGTAGCGGAGCCTTGCTATTAGGGAGAGACTACAAGTGACTGTAAGATGGCAAGATGATTTAATTCAGTACCTACCCTACCCAATGGAAGATAGGCCGGGCCCGAGGCCGGGTAGCAGAATTCACACATAAGTTGAGAGCCACAGAGTAAGTTTGAAAATTCTTCCGTTTCAATTTAGACTAAAATGGTATATTATTGGATTTCAGTATTCCACAAATGAAAACCAGGAGGGCTAGATGGCGGTCCTAGATGGGTAATAACACTGATTTAATTTGTAGCTAAAAACATGGGTCCCAAAAACGATGAATGGTGCGTTATTTTAAAAGCGAAAAGTATCGGGACTAGTCGGAACTGAAAACACTGGAATCAGCGCTCGTGATGCCCAAGACCCTCGTCGAAAATGGCCTCTTAGCTTATTTGAAACTTTCGCATGGTGTTAAAGACAGGGTTGAGTAAACGCGAGGTGGAGAGGGAGAGGGGAACGTTTTATTGCAGCCCGGCCTTCTCAATCCTCTTTCACGTTTGTGTCTTATGTAAAGTACTATCTTGTTCATTGTGCCCTGACACTTTTTATTTGACAATCATGCAACACAGCTCTGCTATTATTTGTTTTCTTTTTTCTAACCACGTGCACAAGTATGCTTTTTAATGTTTGCTGATGTAAGCTTGATGTAAGAAAATTGTTCATTGGAAGAGAGAGGAAAAAAACAAGACAAATCAAGTCAGCAATGATCAGCCGATAGAGCGTTTTTTACTCACGTGGGCGGTAGCTATGAAAATTTATTGGAGCAAAAGAAAACCGCCGCCTGGTTAACTCAGTTGGGAGAGCGCCGGTCTGCTGAGCGGGAGGTCGCGGGTTCAAACCCCGGCCGGACTAACACTTAGGGTCTTTAAATAACTGAGAAGAAAGTGTTGCCTTTGTATTGACATCTGCAAATCGTTAGATATCTAGCTTCTCGGATAAGGACGAAAAACCGTAGGTCCCGTCTCACAGCACTAGCTTTCACTGATCTGTTCTTGTGGGACGTAAAAGAACCCACACTACTGTTCGAAAAAAGTAGGGGTCGTGGACCCCGGTGATATGGCCAACCTTTACGGGTTGTGGGATTGGGTAGGGATGGCACCTTGCATGGGACCTATGAGTCCCGTTCGTGCCTATTCCCTCTGGGCAGGCCTGTGTCCAGAAAAGCTTGTAAAACTAAAACTAAAACTAAAACTAAAAACGAAAGCTTTTACATAAGAAAAAGGATCAACTCTCACACGGGACTGGTTTGGGACACCAGCATGGCCGCCGTTTCATTGTTTTGGGACACCAATAGAAAATCCCTCAATAAGAATGACAGAGACAAGGTTTTATGAGCCCATTAGACTAAGCAACCCACCCAAACCCTTGTTTTCACTACAACCGCTGGACGCCACAACTTGATTGAGGTCATTGTTATCTAAGGTCTTCCACACCAATATGGCGGACGTGACGTCATTTGAAGATTTATTCCCCATAATACATTCTGTTCGCCCCCCGTCATTGTTTTCAAATGCGCGTAATATATGTGCGTTATATGTCTGTGAGTAATATGTACTCCTCTCAGGTACAAAACAAAAGAGAGATTTAGAATCAGATTCAAGTACATGATTTCTCAATTCAGGAAATGAGCACATTAAAACCGCGCAAATGCAACTAATTCTTATGGATGAAACTGGTAATTTTTTAGTTGTAGATATAATGAACAGAGAAAACTTGGTTACGTGATACAAATTAACATTTGCGGTTTACTGTAGAAGTGATTATAAGGCTCTCGTATGGTTTATGTAAGATTTGGAGGCGGGCATTAAGGGTACTTCCCTGCTCAGGTTATATCTGGCAATGAACATACATGTTGTCCAGGATATGAGGTTCTGGCCAGCTTAAGCACTATTGCTACAATTACATTTATATAATATATATCTTAATTCTGTACAAGCTAGCCCACGTGATTTTTAACGCGAAATTCCCCAGCGTCCAGTCGGTAGGAGTATTAAACAAAGAAATTTTGACCCGAAGTTTTATTCTTGAAAACTACTTGATAGTCCTTCAAAGAGTAACAGTTGAGAGTGCTAGTTCTACGGAATAATCTTGACAGATTTAAGATTTCTTGTCGCTCTTTTATTGCAAAAAGTTCTGCACTTTATTTATCAAAGTAGACATCATGGCCAACATGTTTTTAAAAACCACAATTGCCATCCGTTTCAATCTTCTTCAAGTTTGTTCTTCCGTGGCTCCTTTTGTATTTACTGTTTCGTTTTTACTTTCTTTCAGTGTTTTAAGGTGTGGTTTTTATGTTTCCATCAATTTGAAGGCACTTGCACCCTTTTGAATTTTGATAAATTTCAGTACAAGGAATAAGCACTACTCGTTGATCGTCATGCAAGGAAAAACAGTGCGCTAGTTCTACGAGCAGATTTCTTATCGTTATTTAGCCTGCGTAGCTGGCGGTATTGTGTGGGTGCGAGATTAAAGTTTTGGCGGCGGAGCCGTGTTCCAAAAAAAGGGAGTAGGGACGAGGCGGTTGAAATACCGCCTGCCAGAAAACCCCGGTATTTTGAATGGTCCGCACACCAGTGTGCGGGGAAACGGATTGGTCGAGGGCCATACATATGTCAATCATGTTAGATGAGCCTTCGCGTATATTTCCCAATTTAGGGAGCAGATGGCAAACTGGAGAATATGTACATCAGTGGTACATGTAAAGTGATTGTGATTTCCGCTTTAGAAAGAGCATAATTGATGACCAAATTGCCGTAATGGCGTCTTTAAACTTCACAGCGCTGGAATTGTCTTAATTTAGCCGTAAGAAACAAAGGTCAAAGAAAATTAAAACACTTTACAACTGCATCTGAGATCAAATCCTATCAGGGACACCTACAGAAGAATAAACCACCGGAAATGGTTACTCAGTATGCATGTAACAAACCAGCTTGATGACCTTTTAATGTTAAGTCAGTGTTGCAAAAAAAGATTTACTCAGTCAAAGTTTAGAATGATACATGCACTGTGTAGTGCTAGTAACCTTCGAGCGAGAGCCGAGAAAATAAAAAAAACCTCTGTTCAAGCAAACTCACAAGGTCACGTTTCACATTGTCACGAGCTTAGGAGTCGTGTTTTAATTGGATTTAATTGGGAACAGCTAACGTGACAAAAGTGGGAGGCATTCGAAAAATCATGGTTCTCTGGCAGGCGGTATTTCTCGCGGCTTCGCCGCTCGTGACGGCTCCGCCGTCAAATCTCACTCGACTATATTACAACGACTCCGCCGCCAAATCTCACTCGACTACTACACAATACCGTCAGCTACGCAGGCTAATCGTTATTTTCTATTGCATAGTTTTGCACTTTATTTATCAAATTTGAAATGCAAAAAAAGATAATCACGAGTGGGTTAGTGCCGGCATCACGTCTGGTTATGAAAGACAACAAACATCAAAAATGAAAACAACGGTGCTGCAGATTATGTTGGAAGCTACCTGAAGGTGCACAATCCTTTGTTTTCTGTTGGTGAAATGTGACGCAATAAATTAATGGGACGTGTTTAGTGGTCAATAAGATCAAAATGCTAGGAATGCTATTGAACGTTGTGCACCGTCAGGTCCACAAAAACAAATAACAAAGGAGTCTGACAGGTTTCATAACCATTCCAATCTATTAACTATGGTTAGCAAATGTCGAATATTTTGTTGACTTTTTTAAAGGTGTTTTTTACACTTTTGAATTTAAAAGAAAATTGCTCCTAACAGTAACAAGAAAATAAGAATAGGCACGATTGAGTTAAAAAACACTTTATATAGCTATATACATCTTTCCTTAGTCTTTACATAGACGTGCTCCGAGAAAACACTTGTAACATTCTTGCATAAAAAAAGTTTTATATGTATATGCCGGACCGCCTACATATGAAAGATTCAAAAGCATACTCAATACCTTTCAGTCAACGGAATTACTTTTCTCCACATTTCTAGTTGAATGAGGTCGGAGAAAAATTCTTATTTTAAAGCGAAAAAGTAATGACCTAACTACGGCATATTTACAAGTCATGAGAGAGTACAAAATGAAATGAATGCACATTGTTTGAGTATACAAAACATCAGTCATCTGGCTCTTCAACAATGTAGTCTCCTTCCTGTACTCTAGGTTTGTTGGGGTTGTTCACTATTAACCAGTCTGCTAACCAAATCTGTTGATAAAACAAAGTTTTAGTAAATTAATAACAAACTTGGGCAAGAAAAATGCATGTTGCATGTTTTCTAATTTTAAAATACAGCTCCTTAAGGCGCTACTAATTTCTCCCCCATTCCCACACAAAGCAATGATTAGGGTGGGGTGGGGGGAGGGGTCACTGTGTTACAAAATCCACCACTTGGGTAACCTGAGATCAGGCTCAATTTTCGTTTCGTTTTGTAATAACATTCCGGCGGGCAAGGCGAAACGAAAACTTTAGCGGTAGCCGTTAGAGAGAATGTATGGCAACCCCTAAATTGGGCCTGATCTCAGGTTACCACTTGGGTATCCTGTGGGTAAGAGCCAGATTCTAAACACTTCTTGTCCAAGATTGCAAGATTCTAGGGTACATCGATAGATAGTTATTAAGCCTAGCTTAAGAAGCTTAAGAAGCAAGATCGTCACATTTTCTTCTATCAAGAAAACAATGACAACTTACTATTGGATCTGCTGGTTTCTTCTTACATAGTTCTGTAAGTCCTTTTAGTAATGTTGGAGTTACTGTTCTTGTCAGGTAGTCTTTTGCTGCTTGGCCTGTTGCAACAGGTTCCACAACACCTACAAGGTTTACATTTTCTGAAGGTTAGCATTAATGCTGTGCACTTTTTATAGAGCAAATTAATGATTGAATTCATATGACAAAGAAGAATACAGTTGAACCTCTCTATAACAGCCACCTTGGGGACAGAGAAGACGTTGTAGAGAGGTTTTAAACAAGAGTCAGTGTATAGATTTTATGTCCGCCGGGACAGACAAAGGTAGCCCTTGTACAGAGGTGGCCGTTGGTAGACGTTCGACTGTACCAGTATGGGAGTTTCAAAATATTTTAATGATGTAGGGTGCAAGCACCACCTGATAAATCTTCTACATGAGAGGATCAGTTCTATATGACTGTTATTCTGAAATGACTCTGGTCCTCAATCATGTCACTCTTGAAGCTTCAGAAAACTGAGTGTAAGCTTACAGAAAAAGACTATCACAACAAATTATGACAACCATTTTTATACACTCAGTCCCAACAAATCATGGTTAAATGAATTATTTTAAATTTTTACAACTGATAAAGGTGCAACATTAACTCATATATTAACATTCATTACTATTCATTCAAAATATTTCCCTGATTCTGATTGGCTAAAAGCACGAGCACAATTCACCATAACCAGTTACTGATGACCAAATTTGGAAGAATTTTGTGCATAACGAGGAAATGACATCAAAAACACAGCATTCTTGCAGGTTAATGCACTGTTAAGCGAGAAGACCTGGGGATGAGGTTAAGTAGTTTTGATTGTGAAAACAAAAACTGGCGGACATTTCACTCATTTCAAGAGTAAGAACTAGGTGAAATAATAGCTAAAAACATGGAAAGAACAGCAAGAACACAACTCGAAGGGTGACATCTGCTAATTGGAAAATATTTGTGGAGCTGAACAACCCTAAACGTGCACTGTCGAAGGTGAACTTAACATCGATGGAGGTAAGCATGTTTTTTTGTTTCTAAACTAGGAATTATTTTGAATGAATAATAAAACAATTATTGAATTCGGCTTTCGTATCATATGAAGAATTATGGAGATTGAGGAGGGTGTTATCCGTCGAGGCTGTAGGCCGAGGCGGATAACACCCTCCGAGATCTCCATAACTCTTCATAAAATACTTAGCCTCATTCATTAATAAAATTGTTAATTGTTACATGCAGTGTTGGTAATGTCATACATAGTACTTACTGTCAGGAAAGAAGAAATGTATTTCTCTCTCAGCACTGGAATAGCTGTCACTACCATGAAGAGCATTTTTGGTGCTGTCTGTACCATAGACAGCTCTTAAGCTAAAAGAGAACAAAGTACATGTACAAACCTTTAAATAATTCTAAACATTAGTTTTTAGTAAAGCTGTCACTCATACATTGTAAAGGCTGTGCAAGTCCAATACAATTGTAAAAACTGATTACCATGGGGGATGGGTGCGGCATTTACCTCTGTAAGAGGTAAATGCTGCACCCATTGTGTGGAAAAAATTAAGTGGAAGGAAAAAAATTAATGTAATATGCATTTGACTTCCTTCTTCCAGTACTGAATAAAATACATTTTCCTGCACTTTGTGTTTTCGGAAATTGCACTTCACTTTATGGACCATAAATTATATCTGTAAGCTATTAGCAATTTTTTCACTAATATTATTATTACCAGTAATAAGACATAATATGATTTTTATGTGCAATATTCTAGTTTTTTGAAAAGCTCTGAATCATGCACACTTCTTGGGTTCATGCAATTTTGTTACCTACCTAAAAAAAAACTACTTGGGTTAATCTATAATTAAATCATTGTAGTAAACTTGTTCAGGGGCTCTCCTCGTAAAGCCCAAAAGGGTTTGCTGAGAGCTCCTGCCCAGATATAAAATTATCTTATATTATTCTGTAACTAGTATGTGAAAGAGCAAATAAAGATTGATTGATTGATTGATTGATTGATTGATTGATTGATTGATTGATTGATTGATTGATTGATTCCACATCAGACTTTAAATCATGTGATTACCTGTGTAAATTGTATGTAATAAATAATTTATTACAATACATGTGTTTTTCAAGTGTTCCATGGCAAAAGAAAGCAACAACACTACAAGTCATAATATTGCAATACCTTTCTGGTGCCTGATCTCTTGCTTTCTGTGTGTTAGTTGGTCCAATTAACTGTCTCCAGTAAGAAATAGCAGACTGCCTTGCTAACACTAGAGCTAAGACAGGCCCACTACTCATGTATGCTACAAGACTTGGGAAGAACATCTTTCCATAGTGTTCAGCATAGAAATCACTTGTCTGTTCTGGAGTCATTTGTACTCTTCTTTTCTAAGTAACAAAATTTATTAAGATTTTGTCAAACAGAACCTGTGCTTCATTTTAAACTTTATTTCAAATGTAACCACATATAACGTTGTATTTCCACAAAGAAACAGACTGCTAATAAAAAAAGTGGTGCAACATAATTTAAAAGAAATACAATACTGTAGTATAACCCTGTAACATATGGGCAAGCATGGGTGTGAGTTGAAAGAACCAGAATTTAAGTTATCGGGGTAAATTTTGATCAAAGGAAAAGACATTTACTTCAAGTTAGCTGGGAGTTCATTATCTGTGTTCCAGTTCACCACGTAAAAATGACTGACAAGTGGGGTTAAATCCAAAGGAAATGGGACTAAGTTCAAGTTAGCGGGGAGTTTGAGTCACTGAGTGTGAGTTACCAGGGTTCTACTGTATTACAAATTAAAAGAGATATAAATTTTTCATCTACAGATCTTTACCACTGCATATGTGAACTTGATAAGTGGGTGTGTGTATGTGGGGGTGAGGGGTGGGGGGGGGGGAAAGGGCATTCCTTTTTCCCCGGCAATTGTTTTTACATATGGTTAATGGGAAAGTTTGCGTTTGCTAAAATCCAAAGTTCTCAGGATTTTTTTTTTTTTTTCTTAAACTTCGTTAGAGTTTAAAGACTCACTTTTTTTTATACAAGCTAGAAACAGTTGTTGTATAGTTAAGCGAGTTAAGAAAATATCGTTGGAACATTTACCGATAGACTATAGGACTTGTGGACGGGTTGCACCGAAAGGGGTGTGTAGTTTTTTGGGGGGTTGGGAAGGGCCCTCCTTATTCACAGGCAACTGTCTGTACATATTGGTAATGTGCAAGTATGCTGTTAGTAAAGATCACAGTGCTCAGGCTTTATTTTATTTTTGTCTAAACTTCGCTAGAGATGAACAGTATACATTTATGTTCGCCTCCAGCTGGCAATTAAAACTGAATGGGTACAAATTTAATATACAACTATGTCTGCGGCCTTTTCCGCTTTTGGTGATTATATTTTACATTCAAACTGTCAAAATTGTGAACTTATTGCCTGTATTTCGTTAAACAGCCTATAATCTCAATCTGTAGATTAACTGTGGTGCATATCGCCGAAAGATTATTTGGGGATCTGTTTTTGTTTTTGCACTTGCTACAAGGCAAGGATTTTTTTATAGATAATTCAAGTTCTTTTACGCAAAAATCACGGTTAGAAACATTATAGATATTAGAAAGTTGTAATAGTAAATAATTTTGTGTTACTGAATACTTAACTCAAGAAACAACACGATAGAATTAAGATATGAGGAACATTACCTGTAAAATAGTGAATCCATGAAGAAGTATTATTTCTTCGATCTCATCGCTTTTGTCGATTGCGTCTGGCTTGATTAACGCCAAAGTTTGTTCAATATGTATCGCAGGAGGTGGAGGTATCACAGGTTTTTCACCGTCAGGCATACTTTTCGGTAAAAACGAGGGAAAGAGACGACAAGTACGATTATTCAAGTAAAACTAAAATGGCCGCAAAATTTACCGCCGTTGTCAAGGTGATTTCTTTCAAACACCTTTTCTACCGCTGACCGAAAAGATCGCGTCAATAATCTTTTCGTAAAGAGCAGGGTAACGTAAGAACCTTTGTTTCAAAGCAAACAAGCGAATGAGTATATCCACTAAATATTCACTTTTATAATTATTATTTATGGATTTTTAGCTGAAGTGCAATGCCATCGATTAGCGGCACAGGCCCCCTTTTTCTGTTTTTACGACCCTTTTAACGGATTAGGGAAATTTTCCAAAACGAAGAAACAAACCAATCAACAAATAATCGATCAGGCAGGCAAATGACTTTACGATTAATTTTCATCCAGTTCCAGTATAGCGGCAACGCCATACTGTCATTCTGAAAACAGAACATGCAGTAAGTAAAGCATTTTTGATTTAGTAGTATAATATTCCCACTGCATCACGGCCTATTAATTGTCGCGACACGGGGAAGTTATGGGAGGGAACCGCGACTTCCAGGGCAACAGGCCATTTCCGAGTTCCAAAAAATCTCACTTTCAAAGCGAGGCTAAGTGCAAACCCACTGATATGAAAATGATTTTTAATTGTGATGTAAATAAAACTCATTTTCACAACAAAGGTTTCGCACTTAACCTCGTTTTGAAAGTGAGATTTGGAACTCGGAAATGGCCTATAGGCATGCCGAATAATGAGGGTATGCGACGTCAACCGCCGCCAGGGGGGTGGGAGGGGAAAAACTTTGAAGTCACTTGCTCTGAACTCCGATGGCGATCTGGCCAAGAGGCGGGCAAAAACCGAGGGCTGCAATGCATCATTCCACCAGCGCGCAGGCCCAACACGACGGAATTTATAGGAGTTACTTATATTATTTCCCGCGTCACCATTCTCGTTCCCAGAGCTTCGATCCTTTTGGTCAGCGTCGGAGATCGAAGCTCTGGGAACGAGAATGTTGCGTTCACGGGCCAATTATGTATGCAGTGAGAATAGTAAATGTTTGTTTTCTGTGGAGCTTTCAGAGATTAAAAACTCCCAAGGGAAGGATTAGTCATAGTCTCTTACAGTACAAAAGAAACAATAGAGACCACTGACACATGGTTCTATTGCTGCTTAAAACGCAAATACAATCCTTGACTTATGTCACACAAACAAAGCTCAAGATTGCTCATGTTAATTTTAAGCTGTTCAGGATTGTCCTTTAGTGAGTTTATATATTCATGCTTGAAATCTTCTGGGGTATTCTGAGAGCTTAAAGGCAGGTGGTGATATCGTTTTCATTGCAATCATCACGTTTAATTATTAATTATCCTCATAAACACCATTCTAATGATTTGATTGGCTACTTTACTCGACTGTTACATCACTTTGGAGCTAACTAATTACCTTTTGCGTTCGCGCGTCGACGTCACTAGCACAAACAAAGATAGCGATATTCCGCGAAGTCGACTAAACAAAACGAGAACTTTATATCAGCAAATTCAACTTAACCCATTGCCCAGGTTGGGTAGCATCCCAATCAGGCATAATGCCGAATACGGGGCAGTTAATTGGCCAGTGCTTGAAATGCAACGACTGTCGCAAAGATTTTAAATCCGTTTGGTTGCCAACTAATGTTTGTTGTCGAATGGCGGTGTGGAGCAATCCTGGATTGATGAAGCAAGCGCCGTATTCCAGGTATATTTCTAATGACCTCAAGGAAGCGGTGACGAAAACTGCAACCAACGCGCGCACAGAGAATACATCCAACAAGTCCACTGACGCGCGTGATTCCAGGAGAAAAACCGATTTTCCAGTCCAGTCTCTGGCTGAACCGTGGATGAGGCAAGTAAACGCATTAGCGCCTTTCAGTACCCTGGGAAAGTATACATGTGGCTATTACTTTTCCCGAGATACCGACAACAAGAAGCGTAAAACAGGGATCCCACCTTCGGATTTAGTAGCTTGGCGTTCGCACATTTCATAACCGACTGAAGAGGAAGGCGATATTAATGTACGTAACTACAGAGGATGCAGTTGTCAAGTTTTGTTTGAGACACAAACGTATTCACAAAGTCACAGTTAAATCTTGTGAGTCTAAGAAACACCGTAAATTGTTAGAACTAACGAACGTTAAGTTAAGGATAACATTTCGGTGTGTGATTTAATGCTAAACCCAGTGTATCTATAAATCGTGACTGGACTTTTCGCTGGTAATCAGTATGACCAGTATCACTTCAGGTTCACTTAGGTTTTCAATCAGGGTGCTAATTAGAAACACAACTAATGTAGTTGCGCACATATGTGTTTGTCTGTTAATGCGATTTTGTAAAGCTGAGTGGGTGTAAAACGGAAACTCGGTATTGTCATTATTGTGAAAAGAAGCATGAAAATCAGTGGAAGTAAAAGCAGATAAACTTGTCTTCAGCCCTTGAATGCTAGCGAGATGTTTGGAGTTTAATTTGTATGAAAGTGGCCTGTAAAATCTACGGCATCGTATAAGTTAGAAATTTTAAGGAGAGTTGGCAAGTTCAATAGCGACTGTAACCAAGTGATAGTTTTACACCAAGAAGTTGCCAATGTTCGACTTTGACAATATTCCACAAATGTCCAGTGCTGGCCACAAGATCCCTACTTTCCTTTTCCATCCTTAGTTCCACACTTCTCAGAGGTGTGGAAGTGTGGAAAAGTCTGACAAAGTCAGATAATGTCACACTTTTCCCCCTGTTAAGAACCCCTTGTCATTCTTTACTTAGTACTACACTTCTCAGAGGTGTGGAAGTGTGGAAAAGTGTGACAAAGTCAGGATAATGTCACACTTTTCCCCTGTTAAGAACCCTTTGTCATTCTTTACTTAGTTCTACACTTCTCAGAGGTGTGGAAGTGTAGAAAAGTGTGACAAAGTCAGGATAATGTCACAGTTTCCTCCCTGTTAAGAACCCCTTGTCATTCTTTACTTAGTTCTACACTTCTCAGAGGTGTGGAAAAGTCTGACAAAGTCAGGATAATGTCACACTTTCCTCCCTGTTAAGAACCCTTTGTCATTCTTTACTTAGTTCTACACTTCTCAGAGGTGTGGAAGTGTGGAAAAGTCTG